GTCCGAAGACCCCAAAAGACCGGCGCTCCCCGCCCGAGGCTCCCCGTGCACCGGGGGCCCACCCTCCAGGAGCCAGCAGGCAGGAAGCTAGCCAGCCAGAAGGCTGGCGCTCCCCACCCGCAGCTCCCTGTGCGCCGGAAGCCCTCTGAAATACATCTTTTTGGAGAAGAATTTTTATCATATAAATATAATTTCCTTCCAGATTTTATATTGTAAAGAAAACTTCTAAGAACTTATTAAACCATTGGATTTAATTTTAGTTGTATAATGTGAAGACATTTCTGTTACAGCTGGTCTCAGTCATAAGGAGTATTCTGTTTTGTGAAGGAACCTTTATTTACATATTATGTTGTAACTGAGATTTATTACCTTACTTTGCATAAAACTAAGACTCAGATTGTCCTAGTATGGGAGGTGTAAAATGAAGAAGTAATAGTGAATAAGTATAGATTTAAGACCAGCAGCTATTTAAGATCTTCAGTGTCCAGGTTATTGTAAAATGTGTTATTTTGATACTGAAGCATTTAATGTTCTGTATTTTTAGTATATTAAAGTCTATTTGAAAATACATTTTTTCATTTTTTGAGGTGTTTAATGTTAAATTTAAGATTTCCAGAGATACTAATTGTTTTGAAGCTACCAGCTTCAGTATGGTAAACAACCAAAACCGTTAAAATAGGAACATCCCAATGAGACACACAAGTTTAAGTACTGCATTGTTTCTCAGGTGGGAGAAACCCAAAGGGTAAATAAGGAGCAAGATGGAAGAGAGATGTGTGCAAATGGGAAGGGGAAGGAGGGAGGGAGGGGGAAGAGGAAAGAGGGAAGGAAAGGAAGGGCAAACAGATTTAAAAAAGAAAATGAGTGGGAAAAAATGGAAACAAAACTTTTGTAAATGGGAAGGAGAAGGGTGGAAGGGAGGGAAGGGGAATGGCAATAAGAAGAATGAGCACATGTACAGGTACAAAGTCCTTATGATAAATATGATCAATATATGTGGCAAATATGTACTAATAAAAAATTTTTAAGAAATTGATTCAGTATCCCACCTTGTGAGGGTTATTATAAATAATCTCCTCCTGGCTTTATAAATATGAAGTTTTAAAATAATTTAAGATACTATGTACATCTTTATAAATAAAAATGTGTTTTTTCATTTATTGGTAACATTAGTTTATAAGCTTTTCAGGTTTTCCTTCAGTGCTTGCTCTGTGTTTCTAAGCTGATGAATTATATGCTGAGATCCTACAGAAGAAATTTAAGTCATCCCCGTGTACATTCTGTTTCACTCTTGCATTTTTAAAAACAGTTCTCACATTATAATATACCAAGCACAGTGTGAGTGTGTCTTTCTGTTGAATATTTGTGTTACAGACTAGAAGAACTGGCTGTGATTTGTGCTAATTATGGCATTCCGCATGTAGTCAACAATGCTTATGGAGTGCAGTCTTCAAAGTGCATGCACCTCATTCAGCAGGTAAGTTTAAAAAGATATGTCAAAAAATGTAGACTTTGACATATTTTGAGGTTATTTTTCTCACAACCTAATATAGTAAAAATAGTTATCCAGCAATTTCTATTTGAGGGAGTGTTAGAAACTTGCATCCAGTATTCTCTCAGTAAGTCATTGGTGATCCCTTGAATTATGGACGTAACTGGGTAATGGCTTTGGTAGACCAGAGTCAACATGGTAATATCTCAGTAGGGTTTAGCTTTTCTTTTTTTGTTTTTTTTTCCTGTACCGGGAATTGAACTCATGACCTTACATTTGCCAGGCAGGCGCTGTGCTGCTGAGCTAAATCCCCAGTCCCTTCAGTAGGGTTTTTAATTTTCTGAGACTGTTTCATTAGCAGGATCTTCACTTTTCTAATGTATTGGATTATAATATTTTTAAAACTATATTGATTATTCTGTATTTAAGAAATTATTTTACCTTATCCTAGACTGGAAAGGACTTTATGAACATTCTAACATGGCTGTGAAGTTGGCAGGCTTTTTTCCGTTCTGTTTGGTTTTTAACGTTAAGCATCAGCTAGGTCCTGGGCATCTCTTCTAGGTTCTAATTTTGAAAATTTGCCCATGTTTTCCGTTCTTGTCAGAATGAGAGTCAGAGCCATGGCCTATGAGGCGCTGCTTATTGGGGTCTCTGCTCCTTCTCAGTGTTTGTTTTCTACTGTGTCATCTGCTCAGCTCCAGCCTCCCTCACTGCCTTTCTTGCCTCCATCACCCACAGCTCTGCAGACTTTTCTGGGCCTTCACTCTCGGCGTCCTTGCTCGTCCTTCTTGTGGTTTTGCTCTTGTGGAGTGCGGCATGGCTTCTCCCCTCACTGAGACGTTCCCAGACACCCTGTCTAGAGTAACACTCCCCTCTTCCTTGTTAGTCTTTTCTTTCATTTCTTGTGTTCCTGTATTGGATCTTAAGGGGCACCATTCTCCACATTATGACATCTCTGAAATTGGAGTGCCTTACAGATGTTGAAGTTGTACAGTGTTAGGAGGTGATGTTTTTTTTCTGGAAATAATGGTTTTTCTTAACCTTGATGGCCCCTTGCTTTTTAGCTCCATAGGACTTAGTTATTGACAGTAGGTAGAGTTAAGGTTCCGTTAGAGGGAGAACATTTTGTTTGTTCACTGTTAGCCTCTCAATACCTCAGACAGTACCTAACACGTAATTGACAGTAACTGATTCCTGAATGAAGTGAGTGAATAAGTATATTTATTTATCTGTGTATGCTATAGACATTGTACCCCCAATAGTGTTAATATACACATTCAATTTGGACATATGTAATTTATGTTATGTGGACATAAGTTATTCAGAGATTACCTGTGAACATACTGAAGCCTGGTAGACCCTGTCTAGTAAGGGTTGTTTTTATCATTGTGCACATAATATCTTCATCTTTGATAGTGTGGTTTAATGAGAGTAACAGCTGAGTGACTTAATTTCAATACTAATTCATATGGTAGCAAACTAGTACAGTTTTATACTGGAAATATTGAAAAATGTTTTTCTTCAATTATTTTCTATTGTTTCTCTCTTTACCTTGCTCTTCTTTAATTTTTAGTGGCCTTAGTTTTTTTCAAATGCATGTATGTCAGCATTATTAAAAGTTTAGAAAGATAAAGGTGTAGATTATACCCATCTTAGTCTACCAGATGCCTTTAATGATTTATATATCCACATTTTCTCTTTTTAATATGTTCCGGCTGGCTTAAACAACCAGTGGTACATGCATGACTGTCCTGTCAGATTGGATTGCTTGAATGACTAGTAGTATAGATGGATCTAATCACTTTTATCAGTCTTCTTACTAATAAAGTTAATAAAAAGCGAATCGATGGGACAGTCATGTATGTGCCACTCGTGGTTCAAGTCACTCAGTGCAAAACAAAAATTGCCGCATGTGTTAAATGCATGCATTATTTTTCCATAGTTATAGTCACTGTATGCAGCTCATTAAATATTTTAAACTCTCTGCATGCCTATAATGTCTTCATGATGATCATTTTAATATTTCTTGATGTTCACTGAGCTGTCACTTAATCTAGAAGTTCCCAGTGTTTGGTGCTCATGATGTGTTTTGGAATACTAGACAATTTGGTGGCATACTTGGAGAGATTAAGACTGAAGCGAATGAGCTCCAGCATGTGACACAAAGGTGCCCTTGGAGTTGCATGTGATTGATAGTGCCCGACTTTATCATCACCTGTCCATGTTCATGTGGTGTTTTACTACATTGTAACTAGAAAAAGAAAACTGTAAGATGGGTGAACGAATTTGTAAATGCCCATTTTGCTGCATATATTGTATTACCTTTTAAAATTGGCTTGAAAAGGAAAAAAAGCACAACATAACAACATTGTTTTCCTCACATTGGCCTTCACAAAAAGAAGTTGTGGCATGGTTGCTTTAAACCAAATAAATACATTGGTCTTGTCGAGTGCTGATTGCCATTTTTAAGTAATTAAAGTTACCCTTACTTGTGCTGTGGTTCCTATTGGTACTAGGTAGTGTTTATTGAATGCCCACCTCGTGTGGTAGGACTCTGTTGGCCTTTCAGGTTTCTTAACTTAATCCTAACAATTCAAGGTGTATTTTTTACTGTTCTCATTCTACGTTAGAAGAAACAAAGTCAGTGGAGCTAAGTGACTTGCTCAAGGTTCTAGAGCTGCATAACAGCCCATCTAGCTCAGGTGTGACTCCAGAGTCCCATATTTTCGTTAAAAAACAAAATATTAAAACTGCGAAGTTTTGGTTGAGAAAATTGTATTGCAATAATCAGGCAATCAGTGGAGAAAGAATTATAACTAAAATGTTCCAAATTTTAAAAAGTTTTTTAGGGAATGCCCCCAAATGATTTAAATCTGGGCAGGTAGGGTATTCTGCTGTACATACGCAGTCTTGAGAGTATTTTTGTTTGTTTTTACTAAGACAACTAATTTGAGAGATTCATGGAATATGGGCATTAAAAAGATTAATGGAGAGGGAGGCAGTAGAGTTATAAAAATATGTGTATAGTATAATTAGTCACAGTGGACATAAAGCTCCAAAAATACAGGAAGCAGTAACTTTGCTTATTAAGAATTTGAGAGAAGTCAGTGTTAAGACTACTTATTTGTAGACCTAATTGTCAGTGCATTCAGCAAACAATGCTGGATTCCCACTGGTGTGTCTGATAGTAGGGTATGTGCTGGGCGTGCTGTTGTGAATACATTGCAGTCCTTCCCTCACAGCAGACAGTGAGCAGGAAAGATGGGAGTCTTTACATGAACACCGTGGTATTTGGGAGGGAGAGGTGCCAGATTAGATAGCATGATCCAGGAAGGCCTCTTCAAAGAGGAACCCACGAGCAGATTCCTGAATGATGTGAAGGAGTGAGCCGACCAGTTCTCTAGAGTGAGATTCCGTACAGAAGGCCACAGCGAGTGTGAGGGCTAGGGCAGGAGCGTGCTTGGAGTGTGTGAGAAGTAGCAAGCAGCCAGGGGCGCCGGGCTGTGATGAGTGGCGGAACCGCGGTAGAAAAGATGTGAGGTATGGCAGGGATGTGGGGTTTTCTCTTTGGTGTGGCTGTTGTCCACGCAGGGTTTGGAGCAGCAGAGTGACCTGTGCTCTGCGGGGCGTAGAATGCAGGATGGCGGGAGTGGGAGGCTGTTGGGGCAGCCCGTGTGAAATCTGTTGGTGGCATGGGTCAGAGTGGGAGCTGCAAAGGTGGTAAGAATGGTTGAATTCAGATACATTTTTAAGAGTGGATTCAGAGTATGCTGGCAAACCACAGGTAGGGTGTGAGAAAAGAACAGAGAGTCTAAGGCTTTTGGCTCAAGTACCTAGAAGAGGTGAAATGCCATAGGAGCATTTTTCTTTTAAACATGGCCACTTTATCTAGATTCTGGTCCCTTCTGTGTTGTTGATTGCTCAGGTAATCTTCAGCAAGGTGTTTTAACTGCCTGCTTTTGAGTTCTAGCTGATCTTGAGCATGTGACTTTACTTTCACTGTGACTTAATTTTGTCATCTGTAAATTAGGTATTGTGGTAACATTTACTTCATATCATTAATGTGAAGATTAAAGGTGTTTTGGATATAAAATGCTTACAACAGTGCCTAGCACATGGTAAGTACTCAGTAAATTTTGGCAGTAATTATATGAACAATTACAGTAGTACGTACCTCAGTTCACCAACACTTCTGTTTGCAAACCTTTGCAAACAAAAGCATTTGGAAAAGTTTTGTTCAAAGTCCGCATCAGGTGACAAACATGACCATGGCCATCTTTCCTACACAGACACAAACGTGACTCTTTGCCAAAATTGTAGAGTAAATTAAGTTCATGAATCAAGGTACCACTGTGTTTGTTTTATTCACTGCCACTGTCTCCAGAACCTAGAACAGTATCTGGCATATGACAGGTTCTCACCTATTTGCTCTGTGAATAAAAGCATAAATGAGTGAACTGACAAGATGGCCTTCCCTTCCTTTGTAGACTATACTTCTGTGTTTCCTATTTCAGCTCTTCCGTCTTAGTGGTTTTTCCCTCATTAGCAGACATTAATGTGAGGAATGAGCTCCTCGTATTATTCCTGAGATTGGGTCTGGCTTGCTAATTCATTCATATTCATATTCCTCCAAGGTCTTTATGCTGAGTTATATCCCCAGCCCTTTTTATTTTGAAACAGGGTCTCACTGAGTTGCCCAGGTGGGACTTAAACTTGCATTTCTCCTGCATCAGCCTCCCAAGTACAGAGATTACAGGTGTGTGACACCACCAGCTAGGCTTGCTTGTTTTCTTGCACAGGGTATGCTGCCTTTTGAGTCCTTCTGTGTTTTAGTGATGAAAGGGTTCTAGCCAAATTTGGTGCACTATTCCTCTCTTCCTACCCTGGCTCCCAGTTTAGACTTGTGTTTCACCTCGGAAGCCTTGGACAGTACTTGCATGCCAGTAAAAAGGCAGCTCTGACTAGCATGCTGCTTTATTTTTACATGCTCTATGATTTCTGGTTATTTATTTGTTTTAGATGCTTCTTTCTGTTTTCTTGTAATATGGTGGGGTTTTCTGATCATAGTTTATTAGCTAATGAGGAGAGTAGCAGGGAAGGTTAAGATTTTAATTAGTCACATGATGGCCTCAGTAGTCTGTGTCCCTTCCCTGCTTTTGCTGCCACTACCTGTGGTCTGGATCTGGTCTCTCAGATTAGATGGGCTATCTGCACCTTTCATTCTCTCTGAGATCTGGAGGTAGAAAGAAAGTGTGAAAATGAAGGTCATATGTGGTTATAATATTAATAGGAATGTAGATTGTGAATACAGATTGAAAATCTGTGACTGCAGATAAAGAAAAAAACTACCTTAGTTGAAATTTAGATAGTATCTCTGTTTTTAAGAGGAAAAATTGAAGCACATTAGCCAGAAGGTCACAGACTGTGTTGGATGGGGACCAGAACTTAGTTATACATTTCCAGTAGGTAAAAGTATTCAATTTTTCACCAGCATATTAGATTTTCATTCGAAGTTCATTTGTAGTGGAATGAGATCATCTTAAGATTATAATATGAGAAAGCGTGAGGTATGTAGCAACACTGCTTTTGCAATTGCCAAGAATATACAAATAAAATTTTCATTAGTTGATGTTGAAAATAAAATTTTGGTTTCCCCTTTTGTTACCTGAGCAGTCTTTGGAGCAGAGCTAGTTGCTGAAAGTGGTCATATAGTAGTAGATTGTGCAAACATCAAAGAGAGGCACTTAAATATCTAAATAACTGTTTGGCAGCTTGGATGGACGTAGTCCCTTAGATTACGTTGGCCATGTCGAGCTCACAGAGGGGGTTTAGCACTGCTTCATAGTTGTAGAGCTCTCAGTAGACATCTACTGTCAAGTAAAAGGTCACAGATAGGCAGCATGAGAGGAGTTCATTCACTTTATCCAGTGCTAAGGTGTAAAGCTATGTTTCTGTACAGTTTCCACTTGGATGGGTGAAGGGAACCTGCTTGCTTCACAGGGTTGTTGTGAGGATTGAATGATTCGTGTGTGAAAGCAGTTGAAATCTAGGAAGTGCTGTTCTGCTTATAAGGAACACCACTTAAAAACTTGATTTAACACTGAAAAACATTTTACTGGCATGTGGAATGACTTTTTTATTTCCATGTATTGTTTCAGTCATTTAAAAAATTAAGGTTATATATATTGACACTGTACAGTATGGTGTTTTGAAATATATATGTGTAGTACATGGTTAATTCACACAAACACAGCCGTCGTCTCACATACTTACTGTTTTTAATTGGTGCTTATTTGTTAATAGCAGTTATTATCTGTGTTGGCAACTAATATGTAATACTATGTGTTACTTGATTCTAGGGAGCTCGAGTTGGTAGGATAGATGCATTTGTTCAGAGTTTGGACAAAAATTTTATGGTTCCAGTAGGTGGTGCTATAATCGCTGGCTTTAATGAGTCCTTCATTCAGGAAATCAGCAAAATGTATCCAGGTAAGGTTTTTTTTTCCTAGAAAAAAGTAACAAAGACCCATTTGTACACAGGCTGCGATGATAAAGTGCAATTTCTAAAGCTTCCTCCACACCCTCCTTAGTGTAACTTGTTCCTTATTTCAGGAAGAGCATCAGTCTCCCCTTCTTTAGATGTCCTTATTACATTGTTAACACTTGGATCAAATGGTTATAAGAAGCTATTAAAAGAAAGAAAGGTAAGCATTCCATTCCTTTTAGAATAGTAATGCTTTTGACTAGAAGAGTGCTCCAAAAGACTAGTGTTTTTGGTTATTTATCACATTGGGAGTTTAGCTATCTGGCATGAGGTAGGGGATTTACTCAGATTTAAAATCACTGTAGGTGATTTATTTTCCTTCCTTCTTTCCTCCCTCCCTCTTCCCTCCTTCCTTCCTTCTTTCCTCTCTTCTTCCCTCCCTCCCTCCCTCCCTCCCTCCCTCCCTCCCTCCCTCCTTC